AGTTTGGCCAAACCCGAGGGGGGGTGAGAAGAATGCTGCTAGCGATGCCTCACCACCCCTCTATATGGGTTAGGAAGGCTATCGGCGGGGGTTTTAGTAGGTATGCCCAGGGACATCTTCCCTGGGTGAGTCCCACATAACCCCCGGTCCCTCCCCCGAGGGGCCGTGGGTATCCGTAATGGATTTCCCCCGCCTTACCAAAAAAAAAAAAGAATGCTCCGTGCGAAAAAGCGAAAGGAAGAGGCCACACAAGGCATAACTTAGGAAGAGATAATGATATACTCAAGAAAGTAAGCCTGTCTCTCTTTTCTTCGGGTTTTAGAAAGACAAGAGGTAAGTTTTTTAGCTGGTAGGCGGTCGAGCTGATCATCGGGGGACTGGCAACTCCTGGGATTCGTACTTTGCATGTTCTTCGGGCATTTGGCTATCCAGCATGGGATGCCGAAACCTGGTTAGGCTGGGAAGCGCTTCCATTTGGTCTTGCCAGGATTACCCTTCGATGTGAGGTTTGGTTGAATTTAGCACTACCCTGAGGTACGGGCTTCAGGGTGTTTTTTTGAAGATTTTTCTCATCTCCGTAAACAAAAAAAAAAAAAGGTTCACAAAGTTGTAACGTTTTTAGGGTTAGGAAAACTGTCACGGAGCATGTGTCCGATTGCAACTACCGTGTGTCTGTTTCCTGTTGTGTCCGATTATCATGTGTCCAATTGCAACCATTGTGTGTCCGTTTTCTATTGTGTCCGATTAGCATTGTGTCCGATTTTCAATGTGTCCGATTACCATTATCGACGTTTGAAGCAGCCACTTTAAATTTCTTTAAATACGATAATTTCCCATACTTTTAAATATCATAACTCTTAATTGTAGCCCGAAAGAAAGCTCTATGTAAATTTTTAATCAAATCGGAGGTGACTACCTTAATATAGAAATTTACCACATTTAATTAATTAAATAATTAATTAAAAATTTATCTGGTGGAAGCTGCAGCAGAACCGGAAGCCAGATGAATGGACAGCGTCTGAAAATAAAAGAGAAATAAATACGGTTAACCTAGTCACAGTTCTGAGAATTATTGCGCGAGTAATTAGTAATTGCGCGATAAATTAGTGCACAATTGGGTTACTCAAGAAATCGTCATCGGAGGTTAGCAACGCCGACACACGCAGTTTAGAGGATTGAATGCTGTGCTGGAGGGATGTCTGCCATGACGGGTTGCAGCCAGCAGGCGCCGAAGGGATAGACGACATTGGGACCAAGGAACCGGACAATCCTTGCTGATCGGTGGTTAAGTCAGCTGGCAACCGTTGAAATAAGAAGCGTTATTCTATACCAGTGAGTGATGGCGTGGTTTTTACTTACAAAGTTATTTCGTCCGGTTACAACCTAACCTTGCAACCAGTTCCAGGATGCTCGAGGGACGATCCGGAGACGCAGCTGATAAAGCTCTTCGGGGACCTTTCCCCAAAAAAGAAATAGTAATTAAGACTAATTATACGTAGCTGTAAGTCATATGTAAACATAGGCTAAGTTTAAATGAAATAAATAATCTTTAATTTACCCAGTATTATAAAATATAATAATCACTAAAAATACATTATACTTACAATAAAAAGCGTAAATGATACGCGAAAAAACAACTAATATAAGTTAAAAATATACTTACCGTATAACCATTCGATGTTACCTTTTTTTTTTTGCGGGAGGGGCGAGCCCCTCCCTGGGGGTGAGGAATCTTCCAAAAGACACCCTCTGGCGTGCAATGTGAGTTCCTAACAGGAAGCCCACTGCCAGAAGGTAGTGTTGGATTCGTCTGGGGGAGTGGTTTGCGACACTACTGCTCCCCCAAACGCCTACCAACTAAACCCCACCCCTGTTGCTGTGCCGTCAGCGGCCGGATTGGGGGGATGCCGGGAATCGCCAATCGGCATACGTCCAGCAATTCCCCCCGGCGGGCCGGTTTCCCGGCGAAAGGCTAATAGTGGGGGGAACAAAGGTTCCCTCTTAACCCTCAGCGCAACTCAGCTCCGGGCTTGCGCCCGGCGATCCCGCCTACGGGCGGGGGAGCGGGCGCCGCTCGACATCCCGCCCGCAGGGGATCAAAAACTCCCTCTTGTCTTGTCGCCTTCCGTTCCCGATTCGTCCCAGGAATTTTTGGGGCGGCTGTGAGGGTCGGCTCACAGGGGTTGCATGGGGGGAGGGGGAATTATCCCCCTCCCCTACGCTTTTTGGAGCCTCTCAAAAGTCGGGTCAGTCGTTTAGAACTGACCCGAGGATCTCACCCAAGTCCGATGCCCGTTAATCGGGCCGGGCTGGGAAACCAAAACCCCAAAATGGCTTTCGCATCCTCCGGATTCAGCGGCGGGGAGCGCAAAGCGCTTCCAGGTTGCGCCCGGAGGAGGGAGCCTCTCTGAAGAAAAAGAGGGATGGAGGGCCGGGAACATTCCTAGCTCCCCTTCCTGTAGCACCGTGTTATTTATTACAAAGTATTCTTCTCCGGGTTTTTTATCGTAGTTTTCCTTCCATTAGACCGACTGCCCACCCAGGACTTACAAGCTCGGTCTGCCCGGGTCTTTTTATAGAGGTTTTACCACTTTCGCGGCCCGCGCTAACAACACATTAGCGCCGGCCCCCGGCTCCATAAATGGGGTTACGGTGTGAGTCTCGACGCCCCCCCCTCGTGCAATGGGGGGCTTAGCCGTTATGTCGGAGCACCGACGTGCTAACGAGACTGGCCAGGTCCCGGATTTTTTCTTGAGGTTTACTCCTCTATCCTGGTAGTGTGTTTTCCAAAAACACACCTATTGAGTCCAGGCCCCCGGGGGTTTGAAATCAGAGTCCCCGTCTCCTATCAACGATTGGGAATGGTACCCTTACGAAGTCGCTGGGCTCCGCACGGCCTCTCCCAAACGAGGGAACCGTGAATCTACCGGGGAGGAAGAATGAGAGAGGTCGCTAACTCTTCCACCCCCCTCCAACCCTACCTC